GACTGTTTTAAGAGTTGATTGTTTAATCAGTTAAGTGTCATGGCATGAGTACACCATGCAAAAATCTGTAGAAGGAGATAACCCGCTGGATAATGGATCTGGCTCAAGTTGGCACAAAAGTTTCATCTTGGGGTACAATTAGGGCAGGTAAAGCCGTTTGGTGAAACATCGCTCCGTTTAGGATTTAGTGGGATTAATCATTTCAATGCATTCTCTATTAAAAATGGTTATTTTTTGACAAAATGGCCAATTATGTCGATTTAAAAAGTTTTTTAATCTTACCCTGCAAAAGGACCACATAATAATTACTGCAAGATCAAATTAGAGGTCTTAAGCTATCTTTCCATTTTCATCTTTTGTTTATAGCCCGCTGCATTGAAGGTCACATGACCCTTCAATTAGTAGACACGTACACCATCCTGACGTTGTGATTTTTCAAATGCCACAGAGATAGGGATCATAATTGTTTTTACAACAGACGTGAAATAGCATTAGTTCATTTAAAGCAATAAAAACTTTGGGTGCTATGTTGCCCTTGAAGTTTCGTGCTCGTTTCTTTTTAGTAAGTTTTGACCTCAAATCCCTAGTTTGCACCAGTTTGAGATGATTTATTTATTTTATTTCCATTTTTTTCAGCAGGAAACCTTATCCTACTATTTAGTCCAACCCTATTCAACCACATGCCCCCAAGCCTTCTCTCTCAGTAACACAGTCAACACAATATCAACATGCATACCACAACACATAGGGGTTGAAAATTTGATTGTCTGTGGGAAAACTCTTGGTGGCGCTCTGTAGTCTACTGAGTAAGACATTATGGCAACCATGCAGCATATGCAAGACATACAAAAGAAGGATCACGAAATTCCGACCCTGAGGGTCATCCATGTTCATCCTGATTTAACATGTGGGTTGATGAGAAAATACCCAAAGGGAACTAGCTGCATTACCCTAAAGAAGTGCAACAAGGACATTCTTGGTCATCTTTCTGGGCTGAAAGTGCCCCGACACAGCCGTAGTGGCAGTAGCAACTGATGCACGAAATGGGATGAAAGAAATCAGGGTTGGTAGTTTGTAGCATCGCTACCTCCTACAAACCCCACGCATGCGCATTCCCTCCTTTTACGTTCCCCATTCGTTTCTTATTAGCCATGCGTACGCACGTGCTTCGACTTTTCATGTCATTGCTTTTGACTTAAATTTCTCGTTGGGTATTCTGCTTGTGTTTGTCTTTTTGCGTTTGCGAAATGGTGAATAATGATGAATCGATACCATGTCCAAAAAGAAAACAGTGAAGTTTCATTTAGGGTCTTTTGTGGGCAAACTTGAAGAAGAGGACAGGGCAGTGCGCAGCAATACCTGGACGCTTTATCCAATCTGGACCTTTCCTCAAATGCTGTTCC